TAAACCCTCCTGACAGTTTCGGATGAGATGTAAAAGCCACCTAAAACTTCTTTTCGAGACGAGGAAACTTCTTCCTATGTCACCGTACCGGAAACGTCAGCAAGACTTGTGTATTTTAACCGGCAGCATCATAACAAATTAACCAAACCGACAAGTGTTTCTAAAGCAATATAACGAGGGCGGATCCCGCATCACCGTAAACCCTCCTTTTTTTGAGGAGCCACCTAAAACTTCTTTCGAGACGAGGAAACTCTTCCTATGTCTTTTGCTCCAACTTCAAAACACCAATAAACCACATACTCGTCTCTTGCTCTTTTAAACCACAGTTTTTTTTTTTTGGCAGAATACCAGTTGTATTAGAAAACCGCAGGTCATCTCAGGGAGGTCGGGGGGGGGGGGTGCGCACCCCCTAGATCTGCCCCTGCATACAGAAAACACTAATTGACGCATCTTTGGGTACCCTGTCCTCTCATTTCTCTCTAATTCCAACCCGCTAAGTTTAATAAATTTTAGTGAATCGCCTCGTGGAGCTAAGACGTTAGGGACTGCATCTAAGTTAAAAAATAAATAAATAAAAGAAATAACATTGTTATAAAGTCCTTTATTAGGTTCTTTTACCTAGGGGAGGTGAACAGTAGCATATATATCGAGACGCGAAGTGTCGAGGTATATATCCAACTAGCCCTGTGGACCGACCCTGTAAACCTGAAGAAGGCTGGTATGGCCAGCCGAAATATTGTTATAAAAAACAATACACGTTGTTTTAAATCAGCTTTGCAGTAGTCTTTGGACATCTCGATCTTGGTTCCTGAGGGGGATAGCTGTTTTTGTATTTACCAAATCAGTTAAATAAAAATCAAAAAAGAACTTTTTGTAAATAAAAGACGTCACTTGTTAGAGTTTGTTCATGTTTCAATTGACAGTGTTTCGGGGATCATTTTTTTAAGATTTTGTTGCAAATTCAGCAAGAATTTTTTTTTCTATCGACCTGTAAACACCGACAAGCCAAATGTTGTCTCTTTCTTGGTATTTGCTGGTGCAGCTGCTTAATTTTACGCAAAAATGTTATCTTTTGAAACTGTCACGAAACGAGAAGCCATTTTGAAACCCGTCCCAAAACAGTGAATATCCAAGGATATTCCGAGTTACGGGAGCCAATCAGAAGGCGCGAAAATTGCTGTTCACTGATTTGGTGAATACTAATACTAATTGTTTTTGTTTCTGTTGTACTGGGGGAGGAGCTGAAATTCGTCGATCAGTCGCAGATGCAAGATCTACCTTTCATGAATACAGTAGAGCACATTCTATGCTCATCCTGCCAAGGGCGTGGTCTTAAGAAAAAGGCGTTCATACGGCCGTGCAAGGTCTTTGTGTCGAATCAATGGTTAATCCCAGGTGGAGATTGTTAGAAGTTGCACTGATACGGGTATACTTCCGTTAAGAATATGAACGTTCCTTTGCAAACGCGAGTCCAATCTGTAATTGTTTGTATGGATAATAGGAAGACTTGATAGGAAACTTATGTCACGTGGGCTGATTTCTTATCGCCGATTGGTTGGTTCGTGCTCTAAGATGGCGTTGGATGGTCCCATCATAGTGGAAATTTGTGACGAAACAATGACGAAAATGTGGCGCAAACCAGTCGAAATGTAGGGTTTCTTTGCCTGCATGTTGTTCTTTTTTGGAATTTTTTAGTGGTACTTTATGCATCAGTCAATTCCACCTTCACCCAGCGCCTCCCTCCCCCTCTAGGGCTACTGCAGGGCATTTGCCCGCCCGTGTTAGTCCGGGTGGTGGGTATTTGCAAATTTTGCACTGCCCGGGGGCCGGGAATTTGCCAACTCCGGGGCCATTCCCAAGCTTTTGACATGCACGCGGTTTCTTATCAGAACATAACTACGCAGAAGGTTTTACTGGAAAAAAAGCAGATTGGCTCATCTGTCAAGGAAAGGAATAAAATGGAAGAGGGTTGCAAAGGCAAGTTCTCTATTCTATGCATGCATTTCATTGCTTATCAAGCCATAATTACATAGCGAAAATTGGAGCTATCGATGTGAATCAACGCTTTTTGGTTATTGAATCAAATTTCTGTTGATATTATTTAAAGACCATCCTTTCATATTTATAAAACTATTCATAACATGTAACTTTACAGCGCTCTATTAATTTAATGTCAATAATTTTATATCAATACTAAACTGGCCATAAACTGGTGCAACGTCGCGGCGTGAAGTCTTAATTAGAATCCTAGCGCTATTACAAAAAAAGGAAGACGTTTATTGAAACAAAAAATCGCACATTAAAATGCTTAAAATGGCACTATTCGACTGTGCCATCAATGAAAAAAGGTTGCAGTGGTGACGGAGGACGTGGCATTTGCCCTCTTTTTTCGTCCCCGCCCCGGGGGATTCGATAGCTCAAGAGTCCTCACCCCCGGGAATTTGCCATCCAAGGCAAAAAAAGTGCATATGCCCGGGGATCAGCCCGGGGGGGAGGGGGGTGGGGGGCTGGGCGCAGGTGGAATTGACTGATGCATTTATTTTTGGTGTTTGTTTTTCCCTTCGTTTGTTGTCTTAAGGCGATGGCGATCCTTCAAAGCCACACTTGAACCTTCGAGGTAAGCACTTCCTGTTGCTGTTTTGTATTATTTGTCCTTGTCTTTGAGAAAATTGCGTCCCAAAAATTGACCTTACCAGAGCCATATTTAGCACACTTTTGCGACTGTTTTGGGACGCCTTTGTTATGAAGGTTTCCTCTTGTTTCTATTCTTAACTACGATTGACAGATGTTTTAAGGATGGAATTGTGGCATAGGCTTGGTTACAGACTGCATGCTGTTGTTTTTCAGCCATAAATTTCGATTGAAAATGGCTGAAACTAACTACATTCGGAGCTGGCGCCGAGCAAGTGTACGCACACGGTGTGTAAAGTTCCAATCGGCAGACTAGTTTGTGTTGAGAACTGTTTCGCTCAAGTAATATCCTAGATTAACCCTGCTGATTGTTCGAAAAGCATTATGTTAATTTGGCTCATCTTTTAATGTTGAAATAAAACTACTAAATTACATATCCAGTGAATACAATCGCCTCACGTCGCTCCTCGCAGCTTGCATTCGAAGGCACTGAAGAGACTCGAATAAATTTTGTACTTTTCCCTTATATAAACTATAAATAATTGTAGCATCAATGGGAAAACACCTACTGACATTTTTTGTCCTCCGTTAAGGCTCTTAAGTGTTGGTGTCACTTTTTAAACAGTGTTTTAGATTTCCTTTTGTTTTTCTTTATTGTAGGATTTGCTTAACACACATAGTCAATAAAGACAGTAAAATTGTGGTCAAGTATTCATTAAACAGCAACAAAGTTGCTTTTGTCATGCATGCATGAGAGCCAGAAGGTGGCATCTAAGTTATTTATGATCAGAAACTTTATTTACCACTTCTGAAGTGTATTTATTACTTCTTTGTGAGTGGGACAAATTAACTGTGTTTGGGGGTCAATGCTTGTTTTAGCTACAGAGTCATGTGTTTAAGTTGGTTAGTGTTCTTCCCTGAAACGGTCTGTATCTGAATCACATTGTTTTTCAAACCAAAGATGGACTTGATTAGCACTATTATTGTATTCGGCTTTTTAGAGACCCAAAGCAACAATGTACCTGTAGATGATAAACCTTACCAAGATATATTCTAAATCAAATTAATAAAACATATACCTGCACTTGTTGTGGGAATGAATTTTGTTTTTAACAACATGATAATGTGACCCGAAAGTCATATAATTTCAATCCCTCATCCAATTACCTCAGACTAAGTAAAAAACCCATAACCCCTGATGTTACCGTTTTTATATATGTCTCTATAAGCAGCTTTTATTTTTCTTTGGGAACAGTGTTTATGTTTATTTCAGAGGTGCTTTACAATATTCTCCATCCACATCATTAACACTACACAAAAACTTAAAATTTGTTTCATCCTAAAAAAAGGTCAGTATTTCAAAGATAATGTATTTCTAGGTTTTATTAAGCCTTATGGAAGACAAGTGTTGCCTCGTGAAAAGGAAGTGAAGGACGTGGTTCTAGATCTACTATTAACTAGTAGAGTTTGCTTCCCAGCTGTTTTCTAGTAGTTAACGATTAACCGTTTTACATAACATTTTTAAAAGCGTTGCAGTTCGCTTTTTCAAAGACCTTAGGACTGAAAAGTACCTTGGGTCATTGTACATTTATACCTGAAAATAACAAAACAACTTGCTTCACCATGAAAATTGATTTGAAAAAGTTAGAAACGGCGTTTCACGGTGGTCGGCAAGCCCGGTGTCCGCAAGCAAATTTCCTTTCTCTACTGTGAGCTTTTCCCTGGTTTTTTACCTTTCTCAAATACGACTTCTTGTAGGTTGTCCTTAAATAAAATTCAAGAGAAAACTAAACGCTTGTTCGAGCTGGCTACTTCTACCGATATTAAAATCATTTTTTCAAGGGTTTTAACATATAAAATTCGACACTCGCTGAGCTTCCATCTCGATAAAAGCAGAAAAGAAATCGTCAAAACCGTACTAGTGATACAAACGGTTAAAATTATTTTCGGTTTTCTTGTGGTTTGAAGAAAAGTAGGCTATGACTTTTTTATAGATGTTTTGTATACATGTAAGACAAGCAGCGTGTCGCCTTTTCTCGCGTGGGGTGATTTTCACGCGCGCTCGCGTTTCGCACGCTCTACTATCCCTGAGGAAAAATGGGGGACTACTAGTAGTCTATGAAACATCAGCAACTTGTTAGCAGCTGTGTTATTCTTTCTCCGTGACACCGTCGATATTGTGGGTCGTTTCTATGGAAATGAATGAAAAGTAATCCCTTTTTGGATACATCGTTTCTTTTCTCAATGAAAAGTCCTAATGATCCGGATTTTTTATCTGATATTGAATTTAAGTAAAGAAACGCACCTTAAGATTTAAATTCAGTCTAATAAAAAAATTGCTCCCTTCATGTCTTTTCAAGGGTGTGACAATGAGACTGCTCTTTCGTATATCAGTTCTTTTTGTCTTGGGTCAACTACTCTACAAAACAGTGACTCAGCGATGCGGATCCGAGATATCCATCTTCGGCTGGATGTTACGGGGACATATCTACAGCACGATGTTAGAAGACCTCCCGCATACATGCGTACAAGTTTGTCGCGAAGACGATCGATGTCAAAGCTTTAACTGGGTGATCTCTCTCCTCAAGTGCGAGTTTAGTAACAGAACTAAGGAAGCCAGACCTGAGGATTTCATTTCAGATCCAGACAGATTTTACTACAAACGTGATAGGAACAGAGGTGAAAAACAGTTTCCAATTCATTATAAATAATTGTGATAACTGATCAATGCTGATTAAGGTCGAAGCAATGGTCTCTAATCAGTTGAGTCAAATTTGGACGACCACGTATCGGGAGTTAATAAAGAGAGACAGAATTGCACGAAACGAAGTAGTGTCACGAATTAATCACAACGTATAAGAAAAACAAAATTTGTAATAATTTCAACTTTTTTCTAAAAAGTAACCCTTTCAAAAGCAACTGTCCCAATAAAAGTGTACCGAATGGTGCATATAATGTACTGTCCAAGTACTTGGGCGCCAATATCAGGGCGACAGATAACCAATCAGTTTGGAGGATTATGTCAAGGCTGTGATGAAGCTACTCTTCCTGAAGTGTGATTTAGCCAACTGACTGTCTATCAAATTATAAAAACGAAATTATACGTCTTCTTTCAGTACCTCTGGGTTCTATTCCTGAACTACCGGCTGAAACCTGTTTGGAAATAAAGAAGAGTGAAGGTCATGCAATCAGTCGAAAGTATTGGTTTTCTTCCATTAAAACTGGCACGTCTGTTCTTGCTTACTGTGATATGAAAACTGACGGTGAGTTTTAGTTTTTAATGGTAAGCTATGTGAGAAAGAAACTCGAAAAAGGGAAGACCGAGAATATTTTTGAGATGAAGAGAATCAGCCTATAAAATAACCCTGAAAAGAATAATGCTCTTCGACGTATTTTCGATTTTGCGATAGACTATCAAATTTCCTGTGAAGTGAACGATTAAATTGTGAACGGATTTTAGAGTTATATTTATCTTTTGATGTTATTGGCGTAGGGAGTGAATGAGAATTCGGTGGAAATAAAATATTTCTACAGCAAAGGAGTAGTGGGGACTGGGGCTGAATAAGTTGAAGTGCAAGTCTAAACCGTTGTTCAGCTCAGTGCATCCTTCATTATGCGATAAATACCAAATGCTTGGACGTACTGTTTAATGTTGCAGGATAACGTTTTGCTATTATTTCCGGTGCTTTCGGCCAAAACTACCAAAATGGTATACAACTATCTTCCGAAGGGGAGGTGAATAGTGGGATATATACCGAGACGCGAAGTATTTATCTAGCGCTATGAACGGACCTTGAGGGGGATAGTTGTTTTAGTATTTACCAAATCAGTTGAATAAAAACCAAAAAGGAACTTTTTGTAGATAAAACACGTCACTTGTTAGAGTTTGTTCATGTTTCAATTGACAGTGTTTCGGGGATCATTTTTTAAGATTTTGTTGCAAATTCAGTAAGAAAATTTTTTTCTATCGACCTGTAAACACCGACGTACGACAAGCCAAATTTTGATGGTGCAGCTGCTTAATTTAACGCTAAAATGTTATCTTTTGAAACTGTCACGAAACGAGAAGCCATTTTGAAACCCGTCCCAAAACAGTGAATATCCAAGGATATTCCGAGTTAGGGGGGCCAATCAGAAGGTGCGAAAATTGCTGTTCACTGATTTTTTGAATACTGATACTAATTGTTTTTGTTTCTGTTGTACTGGGCGAGGAGCTGAAATTCGTTCGATCAGTCGCAGATGCAAGATCTACCTTTCATGAATACAGTAGAGCACATTCTATGCTCATCCTGCCAAGGGCGTGGTCTTAAGACAAAGGCGTTCATAGGGCCAGGCAAGGTCTTTGTGTCGAATCAATGGTTAATCCCAGGTGGAGATTGTTAGAAGTTGCACTGATACGGGTATACTTCCGTTAAGAATATGAACGTTCCTTTGCAAACGCGAGTCCAATCTGTAGTTGTTTGTTAACATTTAATGGGTATTTTTTAATATTTCTTTTGTTATTTATCGGCAAATGTAGAAAAACAATTGAAGCAACGATAAATGGTATAAATCCAGCCTCGTTCCCAGCCGTCCTCTGCGGTTTCGGATGTGACGTCAACTGTCAAGCTTGTCGGGAAAATAGGACAATTGCACGATGACGATATTTGACTACAACTACCAGAATTCATTTCGGTTTTGCTTTGTTATTGTCAATCCCGCTGAGGATTAAAGAACAATAGCCTTAATTTGCACAAGAAAACAACAAACTCAAGGATTCTGGTAGTTGTAGTAAAATGACGTCATCGTGCAATTGTCCTTATTCGACGAGGACGTCCTCGCGCTATCGCGCTAGGTTCCAAGCCTCCTCTGGTCACTCGGATAGCGCAAACTGGCCTGGGTACAAGGCTTGCATCTTGTCCAGTTAACATGCTAACACATAACGTTAGCCTGCCAGCAATGGGAGAGCTTGCTCGCAGGGTACTCGACATCCAGCCCTTATTAATTTTATCATTCAGATATCGACGAATGTACTTCTTCTGTCCCTCTCTGTCACGTCAATGCAACTTGCACCAACAATGATGGATCTTACATCTGTACTTGCAAGAATGGATTTTCTGGGGACGGGAAAACTTGCCAAGGTAGGAAAGCTTATGTCCCAGATCAATTTTTGATGCAAATTTGACCAGGGTTTAGATTCTTTTGCGACACCAAAAGAACATTCCTCATCGCCCCGTGTAAGGGATTCCCCATTCCGGAATCAGCAAAATTTTTGCTTGTGGAATCCGGAGTCCCGGGCTTTAGAATCCGGAATACAGCTCAAGGAATCCGGAATCCCACTAAGGATTGGAATTCAGATTCCACTGACAAAGACTGGGATCAAGTACCTGGAATCCAGAATCCACAGCCTGGAATCCAGAATCCAATACTGTCCTGGGCAATTCTTCAAGTTAAGTCCTTAATTTCAATCACATAATTTGCATTTGCATGCCTTGAATTACCTTAAGTATGAAGAGTTTGTAAATAATTCTTCAAGCTTACTTTCGTCTCCAATATTTCATGATTAGTCTACGATTTATGACCATTTGCAACAAAAAGTCTATTTAAGATATTTTAAAAGTTTAGGAAAATTCTGCAGCTCCAAAGGTCTTAAAAATAGACACCGAACGCGTAGCTTAAGGTCATTATTTTTAAGAAGGCAGGGAAAACAAGAGGTTATGGAACGAATAACAATATACTGTTCAAGATCGGTGTCCACAGTAATAACCTGCTGATTCTAAAAGAAATGGAAAGGTAATTTTTAGACGGCCGAAGAGCGAAGGTATATCCTATGTATATAATACAGGATTACTAAACGTTAACTGAAATAGTACACAACAGCCCAAATATAAGAAAAAAAAGAGAAAGTGTCTACGGTTAATTAACAGATGCACAAATAGGCCCATTGACGAAAATGAACAATTATAATTTTGCTCAAATGCGGAAAATTTTGAAATAAATTGTTTGCAGAGGCTGTAAACACTGAAATAAATTGTATGCAAGTAAAAAAATGTGTTTGCAGGGAGACAGAGACACAAAAAAATTGTTTGCAGCAGGAGCTGCATATAAAAAAAATGTTTGGATGTGAATATTTTCCAAACCAAGACACTCGGGTACTGGAAGGACATGTTTTGGTAATTTGAATAGTGTTTATATGCACTAGTGCTTACAAAAGGTGTTTATGCTAAATTTGTCTATAGGAATACATTTGTATATAAAGTAATCACCCCACTTAAGAACTCATAAAATCTGACGACACTGTATTGTATTGTAACCAGAAACTCTGATAAGGGGTTGAAACGTGTAACTCGCATTCAATGCTCGTAAATATTCAATTTTACCATATTTGGAAACCCTAGTGAAGGATATCCATTTTACACAAAATTGCTGCTGCGCGATCACCATGTGGTGGTTTTAAGACAAGCTGCATTTCAAGATTAAAAATACACCTATAAAAGACAAAAAATGGAAAGAGAAAGTTAAAAAGACGGTCAATTTTCTTTTGTGGAGCCAGTAACGAGAGCCTTGACTCTTGTGCCACGTCAACACTACTTTTTGGTTAGTAAATTAAAAACAGCAGATTTTTTAAACTATCCTCAAACAAAAGGCTACATAAAAAAAGGAAAAATGCATACCTTCTGGGTCTTTCAAGCACCAGAGGATCCGGGATCCACTCCTGATTGGCTGTGAAGCAGCCAAATGGAAAGAAAAGGGGGGAGAAGAAAACATTTGCTTAATTTGCACTAGGAGTCCTCCAAAACAGACTTGCCCGTTAAGGACAAAATGAAGGAGTAAGCATCGTAGCAAGGGAAAAAAGGCCTAGTGTAGGCAATTACCAAATTCCCTTCCTTATACTTTTACATGACGGTTAAAACATATTTGTGGAAAGCGTGAGTGGGCTTTGTCAACTCTCTCACATTATTTTCAATTTTACTGCACATTCAGTGCATTTAAATGAAAAATGCTATTAATTCACTTTGTTTTAAATAGTTGATCTACAAAAAAAGTGGACCTCTGAAGACTGTGGGGGAAGTGAGTGCACCCGTCGCACCACCCCCCCCTACGGGCCTGTATTCCGCCTTTTTTTTTTTTGCTTCTCTCACTGGGAAGGGGGTGGGACTCCAGAAACCCCCTATCCATATCTTTAAAACAACTCACACTTCGGCCACTAAACTTTCATACAATAATGTAGTCAGCATGTCCAACTTCTGGGCATGACCTGATTGACACAGTTAATCTGATGTCATTGGAATTGACAGAATTATTGGCAGAATCCAAATTTCCCTAAAAGTACACATTAAGCAAAAAATACTTAAATAGTAAGTAAAATCAAGAAGCTGGCTAACATATAATTAACCTTCAAATAGCAGTGATGTCATGGTGATGTTGTTTATTCGTGACCGAAAAGGAACTGGAACCAACAGCCATCTTGGATTCGCCATTCTGAATTGTTTAAATGTATTCCAAAATTACTTGAGACAAGTGACAATCAAGGAATATTTAACACAAAACTTTATCTGATTATAAAAGGATGCTTAGCACTAAAAGCAAAAAAAGTCTGCAAAATATTCAATTTCGAGAGAAGTGAACACTGCTGAAAATTACACCATAGTTATTACAGGAGACTGGTTATTAAAAGCTGCAAACATCAATTTTTTTATTATAAAAACAAGGGTGCCGCAGTTTATGTTGGAAGCTTCCTGAAGGAGCACAATCCTTTGTTTTCTGTTAGCAAATTGTGATGGAATAAATAAATTAATGCAACGTTTTTATTGGTCAAAACGCTGGGAATGCAACGTTGGGCAGCTTCAGGTCCACAAAAATATACATCAAAGGACTCAGACCGGTTTCATAACCACTTCACTCCATTAACTATGATTGAACTCAGAATCTGCCATTTAGTCATATTACTAAAAATTCATGTTTTTTTCTCAAACTAGTCACTAAAGAACCGGGATTTCATCAACAGTGACAATAGCTTTGGAAGAATAATGCTTAATTAAATGTAATATATCCAGTAGTAAAAATATAATTAAAACCTACTTTTTTAAAAGAAGAACATGGCCACCAAAACCTGGTTGCCATGGTTACGTCAATGTAGACGTATTCGTCACGACGACTTTCTAAAATAATTTTTAGGAGGAGTCACTTAGTTTAGTGGTCATAGCTTGAACGGTTTTGAAGTTATTCATCTTCAAAAGTCCCCCCCCCCCGGTTTGAATGGCACATAGAAGGCTATAGCGACCCGCTATATCATGAGTATCAACTTAGTGATACAGTGATACATGTACGTGACCTGCCACACATTTTTGTGTTTGAATTCTACAATCAAACTCTTTCAACGTAGGCCAGTGCGTTTTGTAGTAGAGTAACTTCATTCATCTTTTTTTTTGTTTTAGACATCGACGAATGTTCTACCAACTCTCATAGCTGTGACGTAAATGCGGTGTGCGGCAATAATCTGGGTTCTTACACATGCGCTTGCAAACCAGGATACTCGGGTAATGGAAGAACATGCTCTGGTAAGTTGAATAGTGTAATTTAAAAATAAAGTGTTTATGCTAAATTTGTCTTTAACAGTATATGAAGCAATTACCCCAGGTAAAAACTCACAAAATTTGATGACACTATTGTGTGTAACCCAGTTAAACAGGCAACGATGGGTGTTCATAAAAAATACATCAAACTAAAAACTAAAATACACCAGATGAATTTCTAAAAATTTATCTATTCGATAAAGTTGTAAATATAGTTTATTTTATGTGAAGACATAATGTTTTTTTCTTGTAACGTATTTAATCATGTATTGGTTTCTCGGATATATTACCTATTTACAAGCTACTCCAAAATTCGAGTGTAAGCATAATAAAGATTATGTATGTATGCAAACTACCAGCTTTTAATGTTTGTATGTAGATATCGACGAATGCTCTACCAGCTCTCACAGCTGTGACATTAATACGGTGTGTAGTAATACTGTGGGATCTTACGTATGCGCATGCAAAGCAGGATTCACAGGAGATGGAAACACCTGCACTGGTGAGCCGTTTAAGTCTAATTGAAAATGTTTGTTTGATATGTTTGTTTTTGAATAAACCGGCAACAACGGCAATACAACATTCTTTATTTTTTTACTTTTCTTGCCCTTCCAATAAAGTTTTGGCTAGATGGGAAAAAAAAATACAGTAAAAATGACCGCTTGGAGTATGCGAACAGACAAGCGATGTCAAGCAGTCAGATTATGTAAGCAATAAAGTACTGGCGCCGGTTGTACAAACCCTGGTTAGCGCTATCCAACAGATAAATCACTATTCAGTAGATAAGTATTAGGTTATCAATTGCGCTATCCACTGGATAGAGATTTATCGACTGGATAGGGTTATCCATCTTTTGAACAACTGGGGCCAGGTCGGCAAGATGCGCAAAGTCGTAAGATGTGCGTAAGTGCGATATTTTTTTTTTTGTCCAATAAGTGCAACAGTATAGATTATTCAAACCTGCGATCGTTTTTCCTTTTATCAAGCTTAAAATAATTAATTCCGTTTAACTTGTTTCCCCTTTACAAAGAAAACGGTTACAAAGGTTATGATTACGCTTACTTGTACCGTTCCCTTTTTGTAGACATTGACGAGTGCAGCCGCGGTACTCACAACTGCCACAGTTCACTTGCTTCATGTACCAACACAGTGGGATCCTTTAGTTGTTCATGTAACAATCCTTACAGTGGAGATGGCAGAACGTGCTATCTACTGGTATCAGGTAATCAAATCGCCTAGTACTAGGAAGGTTCCCATTTACTAGACCTCTATTCGGAGATGGCAAAACTTGCAATAATATTCCATACGGTAATTATTATCACCAAGAAATAGGAATGTGTTCATTCACTAGACCCTTATTTACTCTCGTTAGAAGCATGTTACTTTAACCTTGATTGTTTAAAGAGGGTTTCAGTGGAATGCAAATATTACCCAGATCTCTTGTCGACGAAGCCGAAAGCGAGATCTGGTCAATAAATGAAATTCAATTCTCTTTTTATTAGCCACTCAAACTACCTAAAAAGTACTTTTGTATTGCGGGAATGACATGAGTGTTGTCATCAGCACGCGCTATGGTGTCTGCAATTCATTCTTCACAAAATCTTTAATTTTTCTGGTCTTTTCCCCTTTAGACTGCAGAACAGTCGGTTTTTTTCTCAAAATCAGTAAAGAAATCGGTAAAGCGTGGCGTAAGAGTCTTACGCGCGCGAAGCGCGCAAGCCTCACACGCCCTACCGGCGTGTGAGGCGCGAGAAAAAAAACCGACTGTCCGTTTTCCATTAGCCTCCCGCGCAGGCGTTTTTAGGGGAGCTCGTATTTCTTCCCTCGAAATACGAGCTCCCCTAAAAACGCCTGCGTTGGAGGCTAGTTTTCCACACAATGAATTCGTTCCGACCAGGGGGTTCAAAAACGTCGTCGAGCTGTCAAAAATCTGTTCGCAACTCCGCCCCCTTTGTGAATTTGATACACTCATTAACTGATTTCGAGGGAGAATAGCGCGTGTTATTGTCTGCTCTTGACGCTGTAATCCAGTAATTCTAAAGCAGTTTTCAGCGTTGGTTCTCTGTGAAATGTAGTGTATAGTGAAATGTAGTATATATAGTGGAGGATCAAAAATGAGTGGAAGTGGTAGTACGACAACAAAAGCCTGTGCCTGCTCCTCGAAGAGGGAGAAAGCCGAAAGAGCCGAGCGCTTCGGATAAATTGTAGAATGTGCGGCTGTTGTTTCAAAACACAGTTTGTATTTTTAGCGTCTCTCCCCAGTCTCGCTCTCTGTTTTCAGCCTTGTTCGAGACCTTTTGTTTGACTGCTCGCGCGTACTTGAATACGCAAAAATACGGACTGTTTTGCAGTCTATTTCCCCTTTTGCTTGCTAGCCTGCGACCAAGCTCTCCTATTTTGGCGAGCAAAGCGTGCCTCGCGAGAACGCGCGAGCGAGGGGCCGAGGAAAGGAGAGCTTGCAACGATCGCTCATAAATTTTCATTTCCAGCCCGGAAACTCCGGGACTCCGTAAAGCGTCAAACTGTCACCGCAAACGTGCCGCAGATTAGAGAAGTGCGGACCGCCTGTCAAGGCGTAACAGCATCAAAACAATGTTTTTGATCACCGAAGATATACTTTTTTTTTCCATGGGGACATCGAACTTCGACGTGTCCGCTCGGATGAAAACTCAATACTTAGTATAGAAGACTACTAAGTAGTATGCAGTATAGAAGACTACTCCCCGTCGCAATCACCAACAAAAACATTATATATTAGACTTACATTTGTCCGTTCCGGAACTGGAGAATAGCGTTTTCCTGGGCTTGGTTCTCTTAAGTTGTACTCCAGTTGCTACCAACTCTTTCTCTTGCCCTTCTTTACAGTCAAGCTACACAACTAGACTGTCAAGTACATGTTTCTGACTTTTTCTACCGAAGTGGAATTCAATCGGGCGAAGAAACCGACGTTGGAAGGCAGCGCTTGAACCGGGCGCTTGAATCGCTCTTCACTTTCACTCTTCTCGTTTTCAGAACTAAACAACGCGCTTAACACAAACGAATACAACTAAGGAAGGGTTTTCATTTTCCTTCCACAAGAACTATAAAGTCGGTCCGACTTATCCTCGGCTCGCAATATTCTTTTTGGGAGAACTAAATCAAACGAGCCCCCTCGTCTGCTTTGAGGGCTGAAACAAGTTGTCGGTACCAATCTGCTGCTCCCCTTGAGAACTGGTCTCCCTCGCAGCCGTTTTTTGAGCGTTGCGTGGCATCCAAAAAACGGCTGCGAGGAAGACCATAGTTTATTCAATATTTTACAGTTTCTGATTGTCTGTCCCGCCGCTAAATCCTCACATCCGGCACACGGTTACCATATTTGGACGCCGATGTAGGCAGTACAAAAAACTTATTCACAAAAATGTCGACGTTTTTTAACTGAGAAATCACCAGACTAATCGAATTACACGACTGTTTATTCATCGAGCCAAGAATAAGTTGGTGAAGTGAGACGCAAATAATTCTTACATGTACCAGTCACTGACCGGTTTGCAATTCCGCAAAATTTAAGTTATATCAATTGCCATTATCTTCCGTCGCATTGCGATTAGATGTAGTGACACTCTCTTCGAACGTTTTTCCCTCTTGTACGATTCAGAATAACTGTGGAAATTTCTTTAATTTGGATAGCCTTTTTGCGAAGGAAGGTAGACACTTAGGGCCTGTTTACATGGAGGTGGGGGTCCCCAGGTAGGTGAGGTGACCCGCTTAGGTAGAGTAACCCGCCTGTCTTTACAATTTCTCATATGGTCACCCCCTGCCTATCATGTAAACTTCATCAAATTAAAATTTGAGATTATATGAACAGGCGGTTCATATAACAGGCGGTACTTGAGGTTGTACAATATATTTGCACTTTTTGAATTATATCTGACCAACCTTTGTCATTTTGGCTTCTTTTGTGTTCCCTTTTTATTATTATTCTTTTTTTTTAGTCAAAAAGAGAAAACCGTTATTTAGCAATCCTATTGAAGTGAAATATTTAGTAACAGTAATAGTTTATCAGCCTACCCCATAAAATGGCTTTTCAGCCAACTTTTAGTCTTTAAAATAGCAATTTGATAATTAAAAGCATAATTATCTACCGTAGTTGAAATTTATCGGGAAAAAAATGAAATAAGGAAATGACGCTTCTTCACTTCAGCCTTAAGCTGGTCGAGATTCTCTTTATTACCTGAAGATTCTGCAAAGTCATTCCAGAGGCGGGCTGCTCATGGCAGCTGACCGGCAGTGAATCTAAAGGAAGGCATGTCTAACTTGTTTCTGCTTCCGATATTACGAGAGTGCACATCAACCATTTTCTTAAACCTGTTACAGATAAGGGGCTGGGCAAGTCCCTTAATATGTGTTACATAAACTCGAATTTTTTGTAAGAGGGTACTAATGGGGGTACCCAATTCTCAGTTAACTACTAATTTTTCAGCCAAATATCAGTTAACTACTATTTTTTGGGCCAATTCTCAGTTAACTACTAAATTTCGGTTAGCTAATATATAGATTTAGCCAGGGCTAAAAGCGAAGCCCTGGTTAATGATACGTGTGAACACAAAAAATAAATCGTGTAATGCTAAACGCGGACGACAATGAATAAGGCTTCAAGACTAATAGATGTAATTAGCAAAAAAAAAAAACAAATTGCACGTGCAGCACACTTTTTCTTCTAATTAGCAAAAAAAAATTTGCACGTGCAGCACGCTTTTTTGTCTTTCCCTTGTTATTGTTTTGCACGACTACAACGCTGTTTTGTACGGTTAAAACGTCAAACTTCCTAGTTACACATTATTTTCATGGAGGAATTGTCGTATGTGCTTACCCAATATTTTGTCTCCTGTGTTCATGTTCGCTTTTATTTTTCATTGCCGCTCATTTTCACCTTGCTGGTCGCTAGCATTTCTCATTTTCTCACCGCCGCTTTGAATTTCCATGTTTTTCTTCCTAAGAAATTCGTCTCCTTTACTTTCAATAACTCGCTCTAGCTCTTTCTCTGTTGTCCACGTTATGTAAACATAAAAAATAACGCCGAAAAAGACACGACTATGCTGTTGTTTGTTCTTCTAAATAAAACCTTGAGTCGCATTTGGGTTGCCATACCTGTTGATTGAGTTATTTTACATTGGTATGCCTGTGGTGCGGACGGACGGTCGCTCGCTCGCTCGGTGTACGGTCACGTGATTACCAAATTTTCTTGGATGGGTAGTTTACCACATTTTCTTACCTATGGTGCTCCGCTGCGCGCTTCGCGCGCGAGAGCTCCGCTATTAACTTTCACTTTCCTACAGCGAATATTATTCCGTCATAACCCGAATTTTCTAAAATCAAGATATATATTTACCTAAACTCCGCCACTAGTACAATTTATAAGTAACTGAAAATGTAGAAAAGAGCATACAATTATCTAACCGAAGTAGTAAAAATGGGTAAGCGCTATGACGCGACGAACACTCGCAAAAAATTGTGTTACTTCCGATTGCCTCCAAATTTGGCCCACAGGAAGTCAATAGATTTAGCCAATTATGTGCCAACTTCCAGGCCCTGGGGAGTTTTGAGCTTCAGGCAACGATTTTTTCAAATCTAGTGAAAATGGCGCTTCCGTCGGGAAGAATTTTGTCGCGGCTTTTGCGAAGAATGAAAGCTTTTATCGACGAATTTCGACCAAATACAAGTCAAGCAAATTATTTTGGAGGATTCTGGAGGATAACAAGCGAAATAAACGCGAAAATAGAGGTAATAAAACAGTAAGAATCTTTGCTTCAAACTCGCCGAGTAGGCCATAGTCTGGCACACATTCTGTTGAAACGCAGTGATAACTGTGGAAATTTCTTTAACTTGGATACTCGTTTTGCGAAGGCAGGTAGACGCTTAGGGCCTGTTTACATGGAGGTGGGGGTCCCCATGTTAGTGAGGTGACTCGCTTAGGTAGGGTAACCCGCCTGTCCATAGAATCTCTCATATGGTCACCCCCACCTATCATGTAAACTTGATCAAATTAGAATGAGAGATTATATGGACAGGGGGGGTTACGCACCTACACGTGAACAGGTCTTTAAATTGTGTACTTGAGGATGTACAATGTATTTGCATAAATTATATCTGACCGACCTTTGTTATTTTGGCTGCTTTTGTGTTCCCATTCTATTATTTTTTTTTTAGTTAAAAAGAGAAAACCGTTATTTAGCAATCCTATTGAAATGAAATATTAAGTAATACTAATATTTTATCAGCCGACCCCATAAAATGGCTTTTCAGCCAACTTTATTTCTCCAAACTTGGTGTAGCTTTAGTTTTTAAGCTACAGTGTACAACTCAAATCTGAAGATCGCACTATCCGTGGAAATTCAAAATCCTGCAAACCACACTATACTATAGAGCTGGGCCCAGAGTCATACTGACATGGCAGGAAATGATCACATTCACGGACAAACAAACTTGCATGCATGCATGCATTTATTCAGATACAGTCATTTCGGAGAAAACCAAAAAAACTAAAATCTTTATTCAGCCGTAATAAACAGAGGTCAAAGGATATAAAACACTTAACAACTGCATCTGAAATCAAATCCTGTCAGGGACACCTAGTACAGAAGCATAAACCACAGGAAATGATTACTTAAGTATGCATGTAACAAACCTGCTTCATGACCTCTAAATATTAGACTTAGAGAGCGGCAAAAACAAGATTTACTCAGTCAAAGTTTAGAATCCTACACGTCTTGCACTGTGTAGTGCTAGTAACCTTCGCGCGAGAGAAAAAAGGAAGAGAACCACTGTTCAAGCAGACTCTCAAGGTCACGTTTCACATTATCACGAGCTTATGAGTCGTGTTTGGCCTGTCAACGCTTATTTCTTACAAACCTGCTTCATGACCTCTAAATATAAGATTTAGTGCGGCAAAAACAAGATTTACTCAGTCGAGCTTTACTAAAGATTCATAATTTCTCGTTCTAAATCTATATAGTGAAATCGATTTAAGACCTTGTTAAATGAAGCTTAAATCCAACAGAGGGCGTGGTCCTTCACTTGATATTTGGATCTCTCTTTCTTCAAGTCTAGTCACTCCTGGTAGATGATAGATGACAATTGCTTTTGGGAAATGTACATAATAACCTAAATATACTTGAGTACATCCGTCCTCTCTCTGTATTCTATAAAAATGAAATACCGTAAATCCTCTTCTAGCCACCCCCTTTTCCCCCAATTATTTTTCACTAATAAATGTTAATTTATTGGGATCAATCAACCACAAATGTAAAACTTGGAAGTTCGGTTTCATTCGGATTGTCGGCTACATGACCTCCAACTTTCTTTTACTTGAGTTTTTCTACTTTGCGGTCTAGTCCCTTTGGAGAATAGATACCATCTTGTTATCTAAATTAAATACCCCCCCCCCACTTCCGTCTCTATTAAGCCCCTCCTCAAGTGAGCTTGAAAGAAATAAGCTCCTGGTGAGGGCTTAATAGAGGATTTACGGTATTAACCTAACTGTTTGGCGTTTTGAAAAGGTTTTGCTTGGTTTTGACCGCTAAGGATTGGAACTTCGCCTGGGCGCAAACTGGGTGGATATACTTTTCTTATTTTGGCCATCTGGCTTCCAGGAATGAGCGGAAGATCAAAGTTTTGCGTTCTAGTGTTGCCTAAAATATGCAAGTGAAGAACAAAATAAGAAGAAATGTACATTTCAGGCACATTGCTGGCTGGGCGCAATTATTAGACAACGGCAGTGCAATCTCGTTCTTTGAACTTCTTTGTGATAATTAATTCAAACCAGTTTCTCGCAAAAAAAGGCGGATATTACTAGGGGTGAAATCATAGTGAACGAGATAGGAAAAGACAGTCCTTCCTATTGGTGTAATGTCAAGAATCAAACTGTGAATTTATTTGAGTTTTCGGTTATTATTGTAATTAAGTATCAATACATTTAGCAGATTTCAATAGTTATAAGACATTCAGCCTTCGGTTTTCATCTGTATTGTGCACTGAGTGTAAAAGTGCTATTTTATAAGTCTTCTATACCTTTTAGACTTTTTAAATAGTGATAAGTTTAGTTTTCATCCATATGTATTTTTCGGAGTGGTGAACTGAGTATTCCGACCATTTATACGTAAACAAAAGTACCCAGTTTTTCAGCAACTTAGACTTGATAACAACCTTATTCACTGGGTCGTCGAAATGTTCTACTTTTAATGATAATCTTTCTTCTACAATAATTTAAAATATATCTTAAATCAAAAAATATCTTTCAGAATGTCAAAACTACCAAACCTTGACAGACGCTGATAGGAAAACTTCGTACAGGACAGTTTCTTCTCCAATACGTGACGTAATCGGCCCCGGGTGGTTTCGGTTTCAAGGCGCAGCGGGAACAAGGATGGCTACATCGTGTCCACCTTTGTACAGATGTAATACTAATGCACCCGGTTGGTTAAATGGTGGTCATCCATCAGTAGCTGATGGTCAAGTAACAAGACAGGTCTGTTTTAACTGGAGTGGTTTGTGTTGCCATGGTACCGTCAATGTCCAAGTGAGAAACTGTGGATCGTACTATGTATACTACCTGAGAGAATATGGGGGTACTACTCGCTACTGTGGCAGTGACTAACCACGAAAGACAAAATGAGATGGCAAAGTCATTAATTATTATAGGCAATCACATGATTGCGAGTGCAATTTGGAATAAATAAGCACAAGTAATTTTTTTAAAGACCAACAAAAGTGCACTCGCCCTACGGGCTCGTGCACGTTGTGCACGAGAAAAATCATCAGATTACTTATTAATAATATGCACGAAAAACGCAACTACAACTACAAATTTTGACAGCGCGCGCGTTTTTAGTTCATTCAACTGATTGGCTGAAACAGACTACTACCTTTGTCAAATTCAAACTTTTTCAAGACCAACGCTTTCAAAATAATTCAGCTAAGAGCTTGGAAATGTGCAAGGATTTTTTTATATGGTCACCAGCCTGATTAAAGATAACTTGGTTTACAATAATCAGCAAAAGTAAGTGTTTTAAATTCATCCTCGATTATGAAAGCTCGGCGTTTACAAGAAGCGTTTACAAGAAGCGGGGGGGGGGCAAGGAAGGGGGGGGTCCCGTCACGACTTCACGAATAACAATTTTGCGTTTCACGATTCACAAAACCAATATTTACCTTTTCACGATTCTTAAAATTAGAAGTCGTATAAAAGTCAAAAACGTTACGTTAGTCCCATTTTGTAAAACAGACTGCTTTTTGACTTCCCATTGCTCTTGAGTGTTGATGGAGAATGCCTTGGGTTGACTGGTCCCATCCTTTACGAGTGTGCAAAACTTCACGTCAAAGCTTTCACCAAGACCACGCTTCACGCATTCATCTTTTATTCCGCAAAAAGTAGTGACATGGTTTCTAAAGGCGTTCAAACTTTTATGCGAACTTTTCAGGACAATTCTAACTCGTTCTTTCGAGCCAACAAATTTGATACTTTTAAATTAAATTTTCGGTTTCGTTTGCTACTGAGGTGGAAAAAGACAGACCATCGCATGGAAGTTTTAGTAGAGGTCTTCGCTCCATAAAAACGTACAAAAGACTCAAAGAGAGCAACCGGACACCTTTCTCCTTCAACCAATAACATACGTGACTTGAAATTCCTGTTGTTATCATGGAAAACCTGTATCCTCGTTCATTTAAATGGCTGAAAAGTGTAGCTGTCAAGGTTTGCGTGTGGTTGCGACCGTTTTTGATTTTATTCTTTTTACTTTAGCGTAATCTGTTATAAGTAGCTTGTTTTTTGGTTTTTCTGGCTTTTCCTCGATTTTGTTGACAGTATTTTCCTCTCAGCAACGCATTTTCAATACATTTAGCCAGAAAGACGCCCTTTTTACTGTGTTCGGGCTTCTGGAATATTTTTTTAACTTTTCTATTGTTGTTTTCCTTACAAAATTAAATCCCGTCGTCTTCTGCTGAAAACCATGGCCATTTTCTTGAATTTTGTTGTTAAAACAGCTCTAATCTAATTGGTTCTTGGTGGTTTCTTTTGTGTTTTCAGCCAATCAGAAACCGTTTGTAATTTGCACTCATGTTACAAGTTTTGCACTCGTGTTACAAGTTTGCACTCGTGTTAAAGAAGAACTGCACTCCTTTCTCTGCCAATCAGAAATGAGTAATTTTTTTTGCGTATATTATTAAATAGGATACAGAGCAACGGAAACACGTTGTAAAAGGTAAAGCCTTCTCTTCTTTCAAGGCTTTTTAATAGTGTTTAATAGTGTGAGGAAAAATATATAAATAAAAGTCATTGGAACTGTTTCTTTTGTGTATTTTTCTTTCAATATGAAGCCAAACAGCCTGCTCACTGATTATTTTCTCGTTGATTTTGATTGGTTATCACGGGCTATGTAGTTAAATTTCATTGCCGTAGTCACATGTACTGCTTGATTTTCATTTGCCGTCTAACTGTCCGATTTGACCTGTCCAATTACAAGCTCCTGGTATTCGGACAGGTCAAAGACGATATTTTTGGAGTAACAACAAAATTAAGGAATAATATGGGCTGTAAGAACCAGTCAGATTCGAGCATTTTGTTATTTATACAATTACACGGATAAAAGTATCAACGCCAGTGCTGACTTTTTCAATAGTCGTACAATTAAAATGATGAATATAATTATATTTAAAAATTAATTTACGACCCAGTCTCAATTATCATATTGACTCCATAAATCAACGTATTTAAATAGACTTACAATCGATCAATTTGACTGAATTTTACAGTTAAATCGATTTAAGACTTAGTCGTTAAATAATCAATTTAAGCTTAAATCGATTTAAGCTTAAATGGCCAGCTGCTGATAATGATCCGAGTATTCAGTGTGTTAAGGATTTCCCTGCTGTACCGTTAGCTCTATACAAGAGAGAAAGGGCGATTCTTTTTTAATTTCCGTTTCGCTGACACAGCTTTAGCAATATTGTTCTCCGCGTCTTCTAGCCTGCGTAGCAAGCGTTTCCTCGCGAGGTTCGTCTAGAAAGCTGGGACAAGAGCAAAAAAAAAAAACATAAATGACGGGGGAGGGGGAGGGGAACGAAGGAACCGCTTGCCCGCAAACCCCACGATTTTGAAAAACTGCGTTCGCCCACGAACGCAGCTTCTGATTGGCGCGGTGCGGGTAGTGTTGATTACTTAGCATTCGAAACATCAATCAAACCAGGTATGCTTTGTTTTCGTGCGTCACAGATCTGGTCTCATCTGATTTGTGGTCGCAGACTACAAATGCTTTGGGCTGATATTTATTGGAATCGTGTTTGTGCGAAGGTTTATGAGATCAGAGTCTTCAAAGTATAATTGGAGATCGAGCAGTGGAGACTAGGGAAGGCCAATTTATTGAGAATGACGGCGTGCAGATCTGACTGGCAAAAATGGACTGTTTGTTAGGGATAACATCAACACAAATAAGAACATCGGTACTCGATACTAGCTAAAGCCGCCATGGACAAGCGATTTGTCAGCTTTTTTGAAATGAAAAGATTCCTTTTGTTTATTGGAAATTTAGCGGCATCTATTGTAGAGAACGTTTCGACACAGGCTGAACGGAGCAGCCGCTCTGCAAAACTTGTGCCCGGCGGAGTGAATTGTTCCTGACAAACTTGGCATTTTTGACGTGTCGACAAGGTTTCAGACGAGATAAAGCCACACAATAAAAAACAAGAAATCCTGCAGCAATCGCTCATAGTTTTAACTTTCTTTTATCGTAAATCGTTTTTATTACAGTTCTTGCAATCGCCTGCAACGTGTTCTATTAGACAACAAAGTAATTTTACAAATCTGGTAATCCAGGGGTAATCTGTTCGTTATGTTTCTATTTTGACGAGCTGTCAATTTACAAATGAACCGAACCGTGAAATATCAAGGGGCGTTTTCCAGAATCGTGGGGTTTGCGGGCAAGCGTTTCCTCTTCTCCCCTCCCCCTCCCCCTTCAACCTTTTTTTTGCTTCCGCTCTAACTTTCGCGCAATAACTCGATTGGAAACGCTTTCTACGCAGGCTACGCGTCTTCCGCCATTTTTTTCTGCCTCAATTTGTGAAGGACGCGTGGCTCTGAGCGTGGGTCATCCACGCGGAACACATTCGCGCTATGTGATTGGCTGTTGTCTAATCCCCCTTGGGATCTGTGGTCTTAAAAATAACTCGAGGCGAATTACCTATGGAATAGGGTGTGTATGGGGGATGCCTTCTCTGTCCCCTTTATCCTCTCTTGGTAGAAAGCAGTTCTTTCCTTTTCCGAACACAAAAATCAACAAAAATGTTCGTTCAGTTGTCTACAACCAGATGCTCTATTGACGCTTTCTGTTTGCCAGGTGCTAATAATAATAATAATGAGTCTTTATTTCACCAAAAGATAAAACTACATATCTTATGTTACAATAAGAGAAGATGAAAACTATGATAAAAATATCTACGTTATATGTATATATTAAAAAAGTGTATCATTACAATAAATGGAGCTTAAAAATCAACCTATTTACAAAGGTGTTCATAAAACGCTCTGTATTAATTTTCGGGCGTACGCAGCCTTTTTTCCTAAGATTATGTACATAAGTCTTCTGGACAGGAATGATATCTTTCAGTGGGTGGCATCCGTTGATATTAATTTCTTTAAAATGTTTTGGTCTTGTTTATTTAAAAGATTCTTGATAAAAACTTTTGTATAACCGTAAGATCGGATTCTTGATGCCCCATAGACTGAAAGCGCATAGCTAAAATTAGGTAAAACGATAGATATAAAAAGGTGATCTATCTCTGCCTGAGAGTAGTGTTCCTCTCTTAGTGTTCGTAGGACATGTAAACACTTGTTTGCTTTGACAAGCTTGGTTCTTACAAGCTCATTAAATTTCCCGTCACTCTGTAGAGTTACTCCTAGTAAAACGAAGCTATTACATTGAGGAATATTTTTAATTGGAGAGTAGAGTACATTGTGATTTTTCTTTCTAACAACCAGCTCTTTACATTTACTAGGGTTGCAGACCATTTTATTGTACATGTCTTTGCACCAGGTTAAGAACTGTCCTACTAAGTCGGTAGACGGGTCACGGTTCCTAGTGATAGGCGAAACTATAGTGGAATCATCGGCGTATACTCGGTATACGCATCGGTACTGCCCTGGTGCCTCTTGCACATACTAGCCCCGGCATACTAGTATGTGTTAATGTGCCACCGCGTGATCAGTGGGACAGAAAAAAGGCAGAAAATAGCATTTCTGTTTGCAAAACTTTGTTGCTTTCATTAACATCAACGATCGTATAAATAGAATGTCACTTAACTGTTAAATTTCATTTCTCAGTTAACTACTATTTTTTTGGCCAAATATCAGTTAACTGCTAGCCCTTTTATCAATGCCGCGAAAGTGTATAATTGTGTGACTTCCAAATGGTTTTGACAGGCTGAAATCAGGTATGTGGTCGCGTGGTTGAGCTATTGCACTAAAATATTCGATTCTGTGCCAGCAATAAAGGTTTCCGATTCGTCGGTGTTTAGCTTACTGAGCTTAGTTGATTGTGCCTTGCAAAATCAATTCTCGACTCAAGACAATTAGATCTAGGTCTAGATTCAGAGGGCTCTTGGCTT